CAGTCCAGGCAGTTATGAGCATGACATTGATGAATCAGCCCATTCTGAGCCCATTTACAATTATACTGTGCATAAGAATATGTTAATGCCCCCCCCCCCCCCCCCCCGGGAATGGCCTAAAGACACTACAGTCAGTAGCACCTCCCCGGGGTATTGAACTAAATGTACATGTGCAGAGTGCATACGCTACACTGTAAAAAAAAAAAAACCTATTAAAAAAAACCCCCAACACATTCGCACAGGTATTCGAATAGCACGACTAGTCTAGAGGCTTCACGCCTCGAAACGTCGACAGAGTTTCGTTTCTTCAAAATCGGACAGCATGAGTAGCCTAGAGGCCCGATTGTTTAAGGGGACGCAAAGCCAGACGACAACACAAGGCATGTGGCTGGTGCGCTCTGGTGTGGCATTAAGCGTTCCAACTCCACGAGCCCGACACACTACACACTAGTTGTAGGCCAACAAAGGAGCTTAAAACAACCTGTAACCTCCTTGAGGCCAACATAGGCGGCATGCGGAGGTGTCAAGAAACCTCGCATATATCGACTTTTATCTCTTTCCATTATGACCTGGACTAATTCTTAACCGAGATCTTCACACGGGCTTCTCTGTAACAGGTGAGTCAACCCCTGGGCCAGTTCCGTTTTATTTTGTACTGTTAATAAGAGTTTTACGGCACTTGTAACACGATTAGGTCGTGCGAGCGCCGAAGATTACAGGTGTTACAAAAGAGTAACAATTACCACAAAAAAAGATATGGGCCGATAGATGTCTAATAGAATAGGAATGGGGGCGCAAACCACACCAGAGCACCTACCAACCACCCACAAACGGCAATACAAAAAGTACGGTAATATAAAGTAGTACGCTAGCTGTGGCATTTCGTTCCCGCTCCGCACATGTGCTATAAATTCCCCCGACACTACACACAAGGCCAAGTCAGGTGTAGTAGGCCTACACAAACGGCGGAATGCGGGGGTGTCAAGGAACTCCGCTTATCGGTTTTCTTCTACGTGTATTTCTATTGTTACTGCTCTAGATCTCGACCTACATATTATTATTATCTAGATCTTCACACGGATATTCCTGCTTAATCAGGTGAGCCAACTCCGGTTTCAGTTAAGGAATGTATTTGTCTGGGTAAAGAGGGCACTGACACAATAATGGCCATTTGGTGCATGGATACAGCAAGCTAGACAGACAAAAACAACAGAGAGAACATAAAGAAGTAGAACCGAGGCGAGTTAATTCTATTTCTACCCAGCATAAGTTCGCATACGTTAAAAACAATCAGAAAAAACGACAAATGAAGTATTTGGGACACCAGAATAGACATAAGGGTCTTGAACATCTAGCTTTCACTGGCAAAATTAAAGGCAAACGAGGCAGGCGTAGGCCCAGAACAATCTACTTGGGGAACCTAAACAAATGAGTAACAGGCAAAGATCAGGGAAATGTAGCTTTTTTTTTAGAGCATCCGAGCAAAAGAATGAATGGAGAACCATGACCGCCGATGTCTGTCGCAGATCTAGCACTGGATAATGATGATGATGATGATGATGATACGCCTCGAGTAGGACAAATACCAGTGACGCCCTCCAACCACCCACAGTTAAGGAGTGTAACTTGTGTAAAAGCTGAAGTAGAAGTAACAGACCCAGCTTAGTTACAAGTGTTGAAGTGTACATGTATCATGATGGCCTGGGTCAACTGCATTTTTAGCTTTAGAAAGAGTGTTACAGCACTTGCAGCACAGTTAGGTCATTATGTAAGTGCTGAAGACTAAAGGTGTTGCAAGAGAGTAACAAACACAAACAAGGGAGGAGGAGAGATTTAAGACGATAGATTTTTACTATGAAAGAAGGAGCAAACCGCACCAGAGAACAGCCAACCGCCAACCTCCTATGTCAGTTTCAACCAGAAGAGTAAGTAAAAGTAGAAGTAACAGACCCACTCTAGTTTAAAATGAAGTGTACCATCACGGACTGAGTCAACTGAATGAAGCGGGTTCTTTTTCAATATGACCCACAGAATTCTACACAGAATTCTGTGATATGACCGCAAAAGACGAACATGTAACAAAGAGCTTATGAAAAAAGAAACAATAATAAATACTGTGTAGAAAAACAAGGAAAATCTTATCTGGATCCATTCACTATGGGGAAGTTTAGATCTTAAAAGTTCTAAATACAGAAAAAAGGCAGCGTTAGGTATACTTATTAAACTATAAACCTACAGTTTAGAGAGCTCATGTGACCCTTGACCCTTACAGTAAAGAGAACTCGTGTGACGTTAAGGAAAAGCAGTTCAAATTTTGTATTTAATTTGTTATTATTCATCTCGCGAGTTAAGGCCACGTGAGAACAAAAACAACGACCGAGTTACGCTGTACTAAAAATACCTTTCTGTTTCAGGGGAATCCCCGCCCCCATGTTCTCACGCGATGTATGGAACGAGATGAGGAGTGGGAAAAATCCCGCCCAAGGCTTTCTCAGATCTAAGAAACCCTCGCCCCACGAGTTCTCGAGGTCCTAGTACCAGAGCCCTCTCTAATTTTCACAAAATACATGAATATTATATTTCGAAATCACGGGAAACCCGTCGCAGTCGTAAGACCATTCCCTTTAGTCTATAAATAGCGGTTTTCCATGACGTCAGGTAGCCTTGACACTTCACTCGATACGACCAGACTCTCTGATACGACAAAAGACGGTAAGAATCGACCCATCGCTCGCGCATGAGAATTCTATTTATAACCCCCTTGCCCCGTGCCGAAACCCCAGATCTGCCTTGGCCGTGTCTTCTTGACGCACACACACCCACAGACACACACAAATCTGCCGCGGACTGTTAGTGTTAAGCCTATGTCCCAAACGAGCAAACTGTGTGCTTCTTTTCTTCTTCCTCCGACCGTCACGTTGTCATTCCACACCAATCACCCCTGACATCGCACACGACTGACAGGTAAGACCTGATTTTGATTCAGCTTTTTTTTTTTGGATTTTTTTGGTGTAAAGGTTCAAGTTTTACGTCACTTAATAACTGTATATCTTCATATTAGTTATGATTCAAGCTTTACGTCCCTCGCAACTGCACGAGTGAAGGTCATATTATGAGCGTGTAACAGTACGCTCAAACTGGTTACTATAGGCCTACTAAATATAATATATTTGTTACATATAATTATAATTTACTCTGACACAAGATCGTATAGAGGTTTAATTACAATACTGAATATAATAACTAACAACAGGGCATCACATCAGAAACAACACTTCACGTTGTGACAATACGTTTAGAATTTTAATCCACATTACTAAACTTGGGTGCAGATAGATGTTTATTTAACATGACTTAAAATGCAGTAACACTTTGACAAATAGGCCTACAAATCAGACATTGTTCACTATTTTTCCCCTCACCATTAGGACTTGATATCGAACGAATGAAGCCTAGCTGCCAGAGACAATAGCACCAAAAACCTAACCAGCACAATCATTCGCGTACATTTAGTTATTTAGTTCAAATTCACACCCTGTAGGCTTGGTGATCGTTTGGGAGAAGAAAACATAACGGAAAGGGATAAAAGAAAACAAACTGCAAATGTAATGTATGTGGAAACGTCTTCATGCAATAAATATTTTGTTCATCAACAAAAATTATACCCCCCCCCCCCCCCCCCCACACGTCTACGCGCATCACGACGATCACCACTCGCTGTTCCTCTCGTCAAACATAGCCCTGCAACCCTACGGTAAACCCAGGTGGGCCCACTGGATTGCGCACGTTTGAAACGGGGGGGGGGGGGGGGGGGTTTCCTGTCCAAGTGTTCATCCATGCAAAAGTGGACACACAAAGTAACCTACTTATTTTGATCAAATTTATTCCACAGCAGCTTATCATAAACATTTACAGCATTAATGCACGATATACAATATGTTCATTTTATTGCTAAAAGATGAAAAAGTAAAAAGTATCAGGTCTTTAAAAAATTGGCCATGACTTGTAGGCACAATTTATGTTACTCTATTCAATGCTATGTCCGTAGGAGTAAGTTTTCTCATATCTCCAGAGAACGTGACATGTGACAAGACATGCATGATAACGCAATGCAGTCATGACTAAAAACACATCAAACTGGGACTTCGGGGGGGAAAATGTGCGAAATTGTATCGGTTTAACTCCCGTAACAACGCCATAATAAGGTTATTTGAAAGGCGAGATCTCCTAATTTAACTTCCGTCTCCGATACAAAGGGTCGAGACAAATACCCAAAAAAATATGTGAAGCGCCTTTCCCCTGTTTGCTTGTCTGCTTTGTTGGGTTTTTTAAACACTTAAACAATTTGTAAGTGGGCCGAAAATCACATCGTATGTGAAAATATGTAGTATTTTGCACTGGACCAGATGTAGATCTTGTAATCGCTACACTTAAAACACCACTTAAGTGGCGACCAGGAACCAAAGAGTTAAACAGCTTTGTTGGGTTGTTGTTTTTTATTTGAGTAAAGAGAAACACATAGACTCAATAATGGTCATTTAGTGTAGGAAAAAAAAAACAAGACAGAAAAAAGACAGAAACATCAGAGGGAACGCAAAGTCTAAGTAGGACCTACCAGTGGTGCCCTCATTGAAAACTGCAAGTTTGTGCAAACTGTGAAAGGCTGGTTGGTGCACTACATACATATCCAGCCGAAACTGTCTTAGACGGTTAGTTATTAATGAGGGGAAAAAGCGGCCGTATGTGGCCGTCTTACACGGTGTCAGCATAACGTACAAAATACGCATGCGGTGGGGGTGGGGTGGGGGGGTAGTGGACATTTGGGCAGATGATTGTCTTATATATACAGGTGGCCTTTTGAGCTGGTTCGACTGTATTTCTGGTTGGATTGTCGTAGCGGCAGGGTCATCATAGAGACTTGAATATCGGTATTCCCTACAATGTTGGGATTAATGCTGCTGAGAGGGGACCACTCAAAGAATAGCCACATGTCTGCAAGG